AGGGATGGCGGATCCCACATCTCTGCACTGCCTGTAAAGTGTCACGTGCAGTAAAGCTATGATGTCAAGCGTAATCATTTCTACGTACCCGTCTATCTTATGTAACCTCACAGTGTCAGAAAATCAGCTGGCGACTTTCCATCATGTTCTTTCTTTTTATGTAACCTCACAGTGTCAGGAACTGTACGCCACTGATGAATGAAACTGTCTTCATTTTATCCAGTAATTTGAAACTAAAGCTTAAAGATTATCAAAATTTCCCGCAAAAAAACATTATCATAATCCCCCAGAAACATCCATGTAATTGGCTAAATCAAGCGGCAGTGGAACTCTATGCGACACGCGGCTAAACGCGTATCTACGCAAGGGTCTAGAAGGTCCGCCATGCATGCACCGTAGTCACATCTACCTTTCCATGCATATACAACTAATACAATAATCTACCATGCACAACTGAACAAGCCATGCACAAGGGCATGTACAATGGAAGCATCACCATGGTGCTGTCCCATCGCCTCCAACTAGACTCAGTGAGGTGAGGCCATAGATTAGTTTTTTCTCCTCCATCGCCAAGAGTTGAGGCCACCATTTTGTGGACCTGATATGCTGAGATCATCCTAGGTGGAGAAGTCCATCTCTCGCTTGCTTTCTCTCAGCTTTTCCCCTCTCCCTTCCATTTTCTTTGGTTTCTCTTGTGGAGCAGCAGCCTCCTCTGCAGGCTACGCCATGAGGTTTGGGGCGACCACTTTTTTCCAACATAGCATCCGAACCTTGGTGGACAGTGGGGCAGCAGGTCTGGAGCAGCCCGTTGGCCTGGCCATGCCCTAAGTCACATCCACGGATCCACCTCCATATAAGTGGCTAATAAAATAATTTAGGAGTACCATACATGCATACGGCCACGTTCTCTGTTGCAGCTTGCAGGTATTCATTTAGAAAGAATGTTAACCTCATAATATGCACTCAGCAGGCATGCAGCCGTTTAAAAAAGATTATAATTTTCAAAAACTTTACTTTCCTCCGCACCGTGCAAACAACAACAATAAATATCACGATCAAACAATATCAACCAATTCTTAAGCGACACCATGTATACATTCAAGTTTCATCTTCCCTTTTGAATATCATGAATTACCTACCCTCTTTTTGAGGAAAATACGTATATACATACAAGTACTACCTGTATCCGTCACATGAATAGACAATAAATCCAACGAAAAATTCCTGTGCCACACACAAATAATGCCCCGCATGCATATTCTAATTAAGATGATATACTTGCATGCATGAAGTACATTCAGAATTAAAACCCGAGGCCACACCATGATGATCTAATTTAACAAGAGAAAAGTCTAAAATAAACCTTGAATTTGTACTCTCAGTTTGAAGCAAACCTTGACCTTCAAATCCCTGAAATTAGCACCCTATTCTCTCTGATCTTGATCTATCCAGGCCCTTTTTGGCTAAGAGCTTGTTTGTGCCTGGGGGATTGCATAAGTGGCGGGGTTCGCTCGGCGTCTGGTTGAGCGCCACTCTGTGCGCGTTGGCTGGCGAAATAAGATGACTAGTTGTTATCTATATCGTGTTCTGTTATTAGTTAAAAAATAGGACGAGTTAAAGCAATACGAGCATTGCTAGAATGAAGTGCTACAACTCTTCTCACTTCGTTCGAAACTAGAATGAGCTGGATCGGTAATTTACCAAAAAAAAAAAAGATTGAGCTGGATGAGTACTAGAGAAGAAAGGGACGGGATATTGAAAAGTGCAAACAGCAACCGAGCTCCATGGAGCTCTTTATTTTTCCTTCAAAGAAAAAAAAACTTTTTTCACATCCAAAAAAAAAATCTGAAAAAAGTATACACATAGATATATGATTGTAGTATACATGTATAAAATTTTATAAACATATAGAGTGTGTTAATATGTGATGTACATTGGGAGGGCTTCGTTTCTATATGCTTTTTTGAGTTTTCTCTTCTGTTCTGTGTCCTACTCAGAGAAATAAAGCGGCGCAGTTCTCTGAAGATGGAGTAAGATTCTTTACGCCTAGCTCCATCTCGGTGGTGCTTCTAGCGTCATCAGAAGGCGTGTGGAGGTTTGTCTCCGACAGATCTCACGGGATTCGGTCGGTGTTTGTCTTCAGTGGATCCGCGTGGATCCGGTCTTTGTTTGTAGGGTCAGGTGGCTACAGATTGGATCATTCTGATATAAGCTTCTCTTCAATGACAGCGGTTTTCTGTTGTCATGCGCTGGTCCTATAGGGTATTAGCACAATGACTTTTCGACTGTTTACTACAACAAGTCTTGCCCGAGTTCAGGGAAGGAGGGATGATGAAGGCGGCGCGCCTTCAGCTTGCTTCAATGATTGTAGTCGTCACTAGGTGTTGTACGGATCTGGATGTATTTTTTTATTTCGGGTATTCATTGTAATATCATATTTGATAATGAATAGATTGGATGTTTTTCTAAAAAAAGTGATGCACACAAAAAGATAAATGCATGAATTGAAATATGCCTTTTCTTTTTTGTTTTTGGGACTGATATTTATCCTTTTTATGCACTATGCAAATAATCAAATTTGCTAAATTTTTGTACATACTTGAAGAACATGCATATGTATTTCTTCCAAAAAAATATCTCTACTGTTATAAAAAAACTGAGTTGGTGATGATGGTGTGCCTGCCATCTTACAATATAGATCGTCCGATCTATATCTGACGGATAGAAAGAAACTATGGCAATTTTGCAAAAGGATACCCACTCCTCTCTCATTCATCCTTATCTCCCACAACTTCATTGTTGAGTAAATAAAAAAGGAAGCCTCTGGAACAATCTGGCATGGTGGCCGCTGCCGACATCGTCCATCCCCATGCCTCCGCTAAGTCCGACCACCAATCACTACCGCGTCCCACTCCTCTAGTGGCGTAGCCAGCCCAATACGCCAGGGTTGTCCATTAATAGAAACATTTACATAAGATTATTTATTTTTAAAGAATTTTTTTACTACACTAAATACAAGCTATGGAGAAATTACAGGGTCGTCCATGGACCACCCTGGCCATCCCCTAGCTACGCCACTCCACAACAGGTGTTTTGTAAAAAAAATGCATCATGATGTTCCGTGCAACGCACGGGCATCTTGCCAGTTATTTGAAACTTCTTAATATATTTTGAATATTATTTTTTTGAAAAGGGACTCCATGAAGCCCGTTCTTTGCAACGGCGCTCTCCGGGATATAGCACAACGTGCAGCTAAGACAGAGCACCGCAGCTGCAGCTGCACACCATCACGTTATCAAATTGATTACAGCAGAAGCACATGCATTTACTGATCATGCACGCCACGACGCGCGCCACTTTGTGCTGCTGCTCCTCGGCCATGCCAGCCAAGCCAGCAAGTAAAACGAGCACGGGAACGTACAAGGTCGAGCGGAGACGAGGGAGATCGGTTGATCCTGCTAGCACTGTGCAGCGCAATGCATGCGACTGAGCAATGCAATTGCAGAGCCCACAATACCGATCGATGAAGAAGGAGGCTTCAGTTGGGTTTGTGTATGGTGAGAGCCCACGGGGCGAGAACGATTGAAGTAGGGCCCATAGCCAGCCCAGCTAGCGCTGCCCTCCCCCCTTCCCCCGGTTACATGTGCAATCCCCCCAGTACAAACGAGGTCTCAGCAAAAAAAACGCCGGGATAGACTGGGATTAAAGAGTTTAGGGTGCCGATTTCAAGGATTTTGAGGTTAGAGTTCAATTCAGACTCAAAGTACAAATTTAAGGTTTATTTTAGACTTTTCCCATTTAACAATACTTATTAATGTTTTTTTTATCTTCTTGCATTGAGTTGCGCCACTTTTGCCAAAATAAATGATCCCCACTGGAGATGTATCAAACATGTATTTCCATGTTTGGTAGCATGCATCATGTGTGATGGCAGTAATTTTTTCTATCGTATTTTTTCCATATTCATAATTTTACATACAATAATCCTCCATCTTAAAGTAATAGCATTTACTTTAAAAAATAAACACAATGTATGTAACCAAACTGTATAGACGGGTGCGGCGTGCCGCCACGCTGGCATAGGCTAGTACATGTCTAAATCATAGTTTTAAATAGCGCGCTAAGCCTCTTAGCGGCGGACCTCTTCTAAATGCTACAACGGAGAAATAACATGCTATTTAAAATGTTTGATCATTTGTTTGTACCAAATTCTCTTAGCGCTGTATAGCGGGCTATTAATTTAAAACCATGATCTACATTGGTAAATTATTTTGACATTTACACTAAAGGGCCTCATGTTGTAGCTTCGCCCCAGGCCCCCGAAATCTCAGGAACGGCCTTGGCTAGAGACTAACTATGTGTGGTGACGACGGTGGAACTGAACTGAACTTGAGTGCTAATGCAGGCGTACCTAACGCTGACATTGACACTAGAAATTGATGAAGTCGCTCTCATCTCCACAAGATCGACCAGAAGACAATTCAACTTTTCTCTTGGTTGTGCTGACTGCTGACCAGAAGAAAATACTACGGCCGCCGTGTGCTGTGGACTAGTGAACCCAAGGTAACGGCGCCAATCGCGCGCTTGCTCACATGGAAAGAGACGGAGAAGATTAGCTAAAGACTAGCTGTGTGCGGTGGCGGTGGGACTGAACTGAACTTGAGTTGTACTAGTGCAGGCTCACCTGACGCTGATAGCCTGACATTGTCACTAGAAACTGATGAAGTCGCTCTCATCTCCACCACCACATCGACTGGAAGAAGAAAATTCAACTTTTCTCTTGGGTGTGCTGACGAGAAGAAAATGCTGCGTGTGCTGTGGACTGGTGAATCCAAGGCAACACCTGCATGGAAGAGACGAAGAAGACACTATAGCAAGAGACTAACTAAAGACTAGCCAGAGAAAACACTATAGCAGGAGATGCGCATTACACTCATATATATAGCTAAGGCAGCGAAGCAAGAAAAACCACAGGCAGCGAAGCTAGCTTCAACTTGAAGATGGAGGAGGGCTACTACTTCTCGTACGCATCCCTCTGCGGCGCCCTTGCGGTGATTGTGGCAGGCTGGCTCGTGTACAGGTGGATGAATCCTCCCTGCAACACCGGGAGGCTCCCTCCCGGATCCATGGGCTTCCCCCTCGTCGGCGAGACCTTCCGCTTCTTCAAGCCAAGCCCTTCTATCGACATCCCAGCCTTCTACAAGCAAAGGCTCAAAAGGTACTCCATCTAACGGTAGTTCTTTTTGTCGAAATAGACTTTCGCCCCGCTTTACTGATAAAGCAACCACCTTCCTTCGGCACATGAACGTGTGTAGATACGGCCCGTTGTTCAAGACGAACCTCGTGGGGCAGCCGTTGGTGGTGTCCATGGACGCCGAGGTGAACCGCTTCATCTTCCAGCAGGAAGGCAAGCTGTTCCGGAGCTGGTACCCGGACACCACCAACATCATCTTCGGAAAGGAGAGCCTCGCCTCCTGCGACGGCTCCCTCCATAAGTTTGTCCGCAGCTTCGCCGCCAGGCTCTTCGGCGTCGACAGCCTCCGGGACGTGCTCCTCGCCGAAATGGAGCAGAACGTGGCGCGGAGCTTCGCCGCGTGGGCCGCGGAGCCTGCAGGAATCGAGGTCAAGGACGCGGTGTCCACGGTAATTCTTAAGGACATGCATGCAATATAACACAGTGTACTTCGATTGGCTAGCTAGTTGGTAATAAACTGATGATATTTGACCATGTAGATGATCTTCGACCTCATGGCCAAGAAGCTGATTGGTTTTGGGCCCGACAAGTCAAGGAAACTTAGGAAGAATTTGGATGTCTTCTTCCAGGGAATGGTCTCCTTCCCGCTGTATTTCCCTGGGACAGCATTCTACAAATGCATACAGGTATTATTACTAGTATTATACAGAAACATACACATCATGATCATATGCATATGCATATGCATCAAACAGACCGGGACTTATGCTAGCTTCTCTACGTAGGGAAGGAAAAATGTGCAAAAGGTACTCAAGGACCTGCTAAAAGAAAGGCTCAGTGCACCTCAAAAGCGACACGGTGATTTCCTCGACGAGGTCGTCGATGAGCTACAGAGCGGGACGGGAATGTTGAACGAGAAATTCGCCGTAGATCTGGTGGGCGCCCTCCTGTTCGCCAGCTTTGCGACCGTGTCGTCGTCGCTCACTGTCGCCATGAAGTTCCTCAGCGACCAACCCAGTGTGGTAGAATCACTCAAGGTTCTCTCTTAGTCTCTAACTACCGATTAATTTTTCTTGCTTCTGAACCTGCACACAAAAAAATCTTGCTTCTACGTGTAATTAATAAATGTATATGTATGTTGAATACTTGGATTTTTTGTGTGGTTAAAGAGTACTTAATTATGTTTGCAGGAGGAGCATGAAGCGATTTTGAAGAAAAGAGAGGGTGCCGGTACTAGTGCGATCACATGGGACGAATACAAGTCCATGGCATTCACTGCTCAGGTTTAATTTCACTTCATGCATGTGTAGCTTGATTTCACTACTAGGAGTAATAGAAAGTTACTAGTACCAGATGCACGATATTAGTGTATGATACTGCCCACGACTAGCAGCCTAATAATCCTACAACAACATTACAAGTTTGAATGGTTATTACAAGTTTGGATGCATGCATATACAATGAAGCTGAAGCCCAACGTTTTGTGTAAGCAGGTCACGAATGAGATCGTTCGCCTTAGTAACGTGGCCCCTGGAATATTCAGGAAAACACTAACAGATGTGCAAGCGAAAGGTATTCTCTCTTTTTTAGCATCTTTTTTTTAGTGAAAGGTACTCTCAGCCCAGCACCTTAGACAATTCTCTTGCTGCACATCATCAAGTTTTATAGAGTACATTCTAGTTAACGCCTCGCAATTGAACTATATATTCCTCCCTAACGCGTGAAACCGCAGGCTACACGATCCCCGCCGGTTGGCTGGTGATGATCAGCCCCATATCTGTCAATCTGAACCCAGAACTGTATGAAGATCCCTTAGCCTTTAATCCATGGAGGTGGCAGGATGAGTCGAAGAAGAGCACTCTGCTCAAGAACTTCATGCCGTTCGGAGGGGGGCTAAGGCTTTGCGTGGGCGCAGAATTCAGCAGAATTCAGATCGCACTCTTCCTTCACACCTTGGTGACAAAGTACAGGTAACTGTGGTGTAAAAAGATATCTATGCATATGTATATGTATATACATACACATATTCTTATGAGGATTTCATTAAATAAATGTTGGGCAGATGGAAGGAGATAAAAGGAGGCGAAGTGCAACGCATATCCGAGATCGTGTTTCCGAAGGGCTATCACATCCAAATAATCCCTAGGGAGGAATCGATAAACTGATACAAGAAAGCAGAGCCTACTTTCTCGCTAGCAACTTCATGGACAATCTTAATTACTCCTTCAATAGCAGGGGATTGACAGAGAAAATGTAATCTCTGCCATGAAATGTAGCTTTGCAACGTGTGTGAGTACCTCGGCACTACCGTGGCTATATGCTCACAGCCTCCACACACCATGTGTGGAGTTTCTAAACTATGTGGGTCATTTCCTCTTTTTAGTAATATATAAAAGAACAGATGTTACCTAGAACAAAAACCTAAATACTGTTATTGAGGAGTGTGTCACGTGTAAGAAAATTGGCTGTAATTGCTGCCAGGAGTACTAGTCATGGTTTTCACTTTACTGGAATTTCGATGAAGTCTACTGCCGTACTTAAATTCAGTGTACACTGAAATATTTACCTTTCAGCCAAAAAAATCAGCAATTTCAGTAGTACACATGAATTAAAAAATAAAAATATTTTGTTAAATTCAATTGAATATTTCGGCCTTTTGGTCAAAATACATACCGAATTACTGAATTTTCACGATTTTGGTTGCTACTGAATTTCTGAAACTGAAATATGATGTCCCGCGCGTTGCTACGGGAATTTGTTGCGGATTTTTTAAGTAATACCCACATATAAAAAATAACACTATGAATAAATAATATGATATAGTATTTCAAATATAGACAAGGATTCAAAGATATTACTAGTACACTTCACATTGCTACTGTAGAGCTAAATAAACCGCGTCTTGCAATTCTTCTCATGTACGTGACTTCGCTTAACCTATAAATTAGTGATGTATGTGAAGCATTCAGATTGCACGGAGAGGAATATTGTACAAGAGAAATTAAAATCCACAACTATAGCAGAAAAATAGTGACAATTTGTCTTAGAACCTTATGAAGAAAATCATTGGATTTAAGAACCACCTATAGGCTACATTCTCTTTCCTCTTCAATATAATCCTGGATGAGCGGGTCGGAATTATCAGAATCCTCAATAAGGAGAATGAGGTAGAATCCGCCAGTATCAGCCAGGATGCCTCATTGGATTGGCACGGAGCAGATGTGTCATGGCCAACATGGGCGGCCCCAGCTTGAGATGAGTGTCAAATATCAATGTCGATGACGATGGTAGATCATTACAATGAGCCCAGTTGGTCTACATAGTTTCGTACATAAATGTTATCAACATTCAATAAATCACGAGGGAACAATCGGGTGAAACTAAAACGGCCGACGCTTCATTTGTGCTGATGTGCAATGCATGAATGTATGCTAGGAGAATTAAACGATCGTTGTGCTCATATGTGATGCATGGCTGCATGGTTAGAGAATTTGCAAACTGAACGCGATGTGGCGCCATGTTGATGACAGTGTGCATGCTGAGAGAATTACTAGTAGTGGGGATCAACTTTTTAAGTATGTAGGATTGGTGTCAGACGCACCGAAAGACTCTCAAGGACGCCAAGACTCTTTTGAGAACCAGGTATGCAAATACATTTTCTCGAGGACCATCGAGTAATGAAGTCTGATCATTTAGGACATACTCCCTCGGTTCCTAAATATTTGTCTTTTTAGAGGTTTTCAATGATAGTCCACATACGGATTTATATAGACGCCGCTAAGCAGGAGACGTTTCTAGAAGGAATAAATGATGAGCTGAGCATGTAGTTGATGGTGGCAACATTCAACAACTACCAGGAGTTGGTAGATAGGGCTCTCATGATTGAAGGCAAGCAGCAACAGATTGATAATCGCAAGAGGAAGTATGGACAGAGGAGGTACACTTCAGGAGCTCAGTAGAAGCCCCGCTATTCCCCGTATTCGGGAGGACATACCCATAACCATGGAGGACATACACACAATGGAGCAAGTTCGCATAACCATAGTGGCCCCAGGAATGGCAATGGCAATGGAGGTTCTGCCAAGAAGCCCAACCCCTTCACCAAAGGTCAGGTGAACCATATCAGCGTGGCGGAGATTGATGATCAACCCGACGCAGTTGTCGGTAAGTTTTTGATTAATTCATTTACTGCACTTGTTCTTTTTTATACTGGTGCATCGCATTCATATATCAAAGGGATTTGTGGACAAGCTTAAATTGCCAACCCAAGCCCTTAGGTCACCCATGTTAGTGAGCTCGTTAGGAGCAGAGTATATGGCCAGCCGATGGTGTGGTCGGTTACCTTTAACCATCGGTAGACATGTGTTTCCCTCCGACCTAATAATTTTGGAGTCACAAGGATTGGATATAATATTAGGCATGGATTGGTTATCGAAGTATGGAGAAAACATTGATTGTGCTAGTAAGTCAATATTTCTCATTGTCGGTGTCAAAACCGGCGGATCTCGGGTAGGGGGTCCCGATCTGTGCGTCTTAGGCTGATGGTAATAGGAAGCAAGGGACACAATGTTTACCCAGGTTCGGGCCCTCTCGATGGAGGTAAAACCCTACTTCCTGCTTGATTAATATTGAAGATATGAGTAGTACAAGAGTAGATATACCACGAGATCGTAGAGGCTAAACCCTAGGAGCTAGCCTATGATGGTATGATTGTAATTGTGATCGGCCTTCTAAGGACCATGCCCTCCGGTTTATATAGACACCGAAGAGCTAGGGTTTACATGGAGTCAGTTACAAGGAAGGAAACATAATATCTGGATCGCCAAGCTTGTCTTCCACCAAAGGAGAGTCCCATCCGGACACGAGCCAAAGTCTTGAGTCTTGTATCTTGACGCTTCTATAGTCCGGACGATGAATATAGTCCAGCTGTCTGGATACCCCCTTATCCAAGACTCCCTCAGTAGCCCCTGAACCAGGCTTCAATGACGATGAGTCCGACGCGCAGTCTTGTCTTCGGCATTGCAAGGCGGGTTCCTCCTCTGAATACTCCAAGGTTATTATCGAACACGTAGGCCGTGTCCAGATCTGCAAAATGATCTTCACATACCATCGTAGAGAGAATGATACTTCAGCTGACAGTTTTTAGACGATGTGAGATGCCCTTTCAGTCAGATCGAACCATTTTTCCACTACCAGCCATAGCATATACTGCGAGGCGGTTTCCTTAGCACGTCTTGTCAAAGCGAAGATCATGTCCCCTTATCACGGGATTCTCATCAATACGGGTATGGGTAATCCAACCATACCGCTAATCGCGGCGAGTGGGAGACGAGCGGGTTCCACTAGGCAAGTGGGGAGGCGCAAAAAAGCTCTTACCTTCTCTTATAAAGAGATAGGGCATCTTCCTCTTTTACCCACGCCTTCTCCTTCCGCTAACTCATTCCCCTCTGCTCGAGCCCCAACGCCCAAGCGCTCTTCTTCTCCATCGAAGAGAGGTTTTTCTAAGATGTCCGAATCCGGAGCAGGAGGCAAATGGATGGCCTCTACCGTCCGGGAGAAGGATATCAAGAGGCTCCGAGAAGCTGGGTATCTGGCCAAGAAGATTGGCCACCGTCTCCCACCGGCAGTACAGGTTGTCCCTACCCCGGAGCCCCGTGAGAGAGTCGTGTTCCTTCCCCATTTTGTCCGCGGGCTCGAGTTTCCCCTCCACCCATTTGTTCGAAGAGTCATGTATTACTACGGGATTGACTTTCACGATCTTTCCCCCAACTCTTTTCTCAATATCTCGATGTTCATCGTCATGTGCGAGGCCTTCCTCCGGATTCCGCCTCACTTCGGCCTGTGGCTGAAGATTTTCAATGTGAAGCCCAAGGTGGTGAGTGGCGAACACGCCCAGTGCGACGGCGCCATGGTGAAGAAGATGCCCAAGGTTGTTTGGCCGAAGGGCACTTTTAATGACTCCGTCAAGGAGTGGCAGCTATAGTGGTTTTATATCACCGAACCACGCGGCGAAAAATGGGCAACAGCTCCTGATTTCAGATCCGGAGCTCCACTGCGGCTTACGTCCTGGCCCAAGAAGGGCCCGAACTGGTGCTCGTCTGATGAGCTGTCACTGCTCCAGACGCGTGTTCGTAGCATGGTCGACAAGGACGTCAAGCTTGTTGACGTGGTCCAGGTGATGCTAGTTCGCCTGGTTCTCCCTTGCCAGCGGTGAGCCTATACTTTATGGGAATTCGACCCAACCGAGCACCAAACCCTCCGGGAGCTCTATGATTCATCCCACAAGGATATCTGGAAGGTGCTCTTTAGGTCTAGAAAATCATGGCCGGACTCTTCCGAGGACCGAGGTATCAATTATCCGATTCTGTAAGCCCGGTAAGTTATAGCCACGCCCTGTCCCTCCAGGCTTCAGCTGGCATATCATGAGGGGGACGTTTTAACCGTGCTTCATTGTGGCTTTAGGGATGGATAAAAAAGGTGGAGCGGATACAATGTCCGGCCCCGCTGCCGGAGGAACCGGGCGGACCTCTTCTAACGAAGATGCTGGTGCCTGCGCCTTACAAGGCGCCAAAGAAGGAGGCCTCCAAGAAGGTCAAGAAGACCCGGAGTGGCCTCCGTTGCCACAGGGCTTCGGATGCCAAATCCGTAGGCTCCAGCGACGCTCCTTCTTCCGAAGATGAAGAGGAGGAAGTAGAGGACGACGAGCCTCGCTCTGTAGGCGGGAAGAAGCGTGCGGCTTCCCCTTCCCTGGGGGCGAACCGCCCAAGAGGGGGCAAGGTTCTCCTCTAGAGGCATCCACTACGGCTGCCGATAACAGCCCGCAGTGGGATCCCGAGGCTCAGCCCCTGGGAAAATCGTAAGTGACCGACATCCGAATACACCTATGTATCCAGGGTCGTCTGGGCATAGTAAATTTCACTGTCACCACATCTCGTGTAGCCCAGCAAGGTCTCCTGCCGGACAATCCTCATCGGCGGATTCGTTTAGCTCAGATGTCGTGGCGAGCGAGACGCCTCCGAAGGCTCCTTTTCCGCAGTCCAGGCGCGACACCGAGGTGTCGTTTCAGAGAGACTTAGAGCCGGATAAGGTCCTAGAGGCCTCTAAGGCTCCAGGATCGGGCGAGCGGCCATCCTCCATGGAGGGAGGTTTGCCTACTCCGCCGACA